CCGGTATCGCAAAAAATGCGCTTCGCACTTTGGGACTGTGGATGCACAAAATTAGAGACAGATATTCGCAGGTTACCCATTACGTTGAAAAATTTTTAGAAAAAAAACAAAAAAACTAACAAAAATACTGCCATCAATACTGACTGACATCTATGGGATGATTTAGAAACTATATACCATTTTTATAGGACGTATCCTGAGAAAAGGAGAGATTGAAAACATCATAAGGATAGGAAAAATCCCAAGAAAGTAAAGGAAGACAGATGTTGCTATCAACAATTGCCAAGGTACTAGGAATGACCACTATAGAACTGATAAGGGCAACGGGAGACAGAGATCAGTGGAAGACCATGCTCAACAACGGCCTAGATGGGCGTGGTACGTAGAGGGAAAGAGCTACCAGTTACATTCCTAAGGTACAATATTCCCATTGATCCCTTTAACAGTATTAAACGCCATCTATTGGCGAATTTAGAAATTATCATGTTTTTGTAACTATCTTCAACACACAAGAAAGAACGAAAACGATGAGTAATGTTTCTTTAAAATTATTCATTAGCCTTAGAAATAATTACTTTAAAATAGAAGAGAAATCCAGTTTTTGGTGGAGAGTGTTCATCCATAGCGTACCCAGATTTTGTCTGCAACAACTTTGTTTTTTCTTTGTTAGACGACTTGTGGTTCTCCTAATTGCTTTGCGCCAAAAAACAAACCTTTTTCACAAATATTATCGTTGCATTTCATGTGTTTCTAGTTACTTCAAGCCTTTCTTTTTTTTCACAAACCTGGAAAATAACGTTATTTTGTTATTACGTTTTTGCCCGATACCGTTGAGTGAACTCAATAAATGTAGAAAATAAAGATTTGTTTATTTATTGTAACTGAATTTTTTTCCGTGTTTAACTTTCACTTTGTTGTGCAGAGTATCTTTTTCATTTACTGTATCATACTTTACTTAGGCCTGGCATGGCTTGATAGTTAGGGCACTCCACCCGTAATTTGAAGGTTTTGAGTTACAATCCCCGTCACCGAACATGCTGGTCTTTATGTTTGCCGACTGGACCAGCCACCCGCGTGTAAGAATTCTTGGTTTACAAAAATATCGCCCGTCCCTAAACTAGGTGGGATTAATTAAAGTCGTAAAGGAATACTAAAAAATACTTTATTTGCCCAATCCAGGTGTCTAATAAGAAAAGAGTACAAGAGACTTGAGTGCGTTATAGGAAAACGATTTTTGAATATGCAAATCACCAAGTTACCTAACAACCATAGCCGATGTAAAGCCATTGTGGAATGTCAGGTGTCAGAACTACGTTTCATAGTGTTACGTCTCCGTTCGTTAGTTAATTTTCCGTAAATTCGTTCTGACGAAACTTTTGTGACACAAGTCCTTTCTTAAATAAAACTGGTTTATTCTTTCTGAATATAACTTTGCGATACACTTAATTTCAACAGTCCCTCTATAACAAACGCTATAATTCTCAACGAAGGTCTCACGTGCTCGACTTCAACAATACTCCGTTCAATTACACACATATTGTCCCGTCACTTTGTAACCGTCTTATATATATACCAGACTACCCCCAATCTAGTAGACTCCCGACAATTCACGAAGGTTCGAGAAGGACGTGTCGTGATACTAGTCACGTGACCTCGCTGACGCAACAATAGATTTGTATGATGCCCCAAAAAACTGATGGAATTTGAGATAGGTATATAACACCCCTTTCCAACGCAACATATTCATACACTCTTATCATAAATACGTGTTCTGATTGGACTTAGATTTTCTGAAACGATTAATCGAAGATATCCAGTATTTAATGGCATAGGAAAAAAAAAACGGATCAACTTGAGAACCAGGCCCACCCAGAAAAAGGTCTGCAACAAGTCGTAAGTAACCAGAGAATGAAACAAATATTCATGCTATTCCATATAAAGACGTAATGCTAATATCGTTGAATTTCTGTGGAACTAGACTTAGGAAACCAATCTCCTCATACAATAGCTGGAAGAGCGGTGTGCTTTAGATATGACAACCTTACGAGGGAGCCTTTTGCAACGAAAACTATACGTGTAGGGCTATTTTCAAGATGGACGATGGTTAGATGCAGCACAACTGGAAATAACGTCATGGACTATAACGACGTTGTGAAGCTCCAAATTCATATAATAGCATTTCAATTATGCCTTCTTTGATGTATACCTCTGCCGACAAAGTCACTCTTTAAATTCCAGATACAAACAGTCGTGTTAGGTCAAAACATACAGTCTTAGTCGAAACGCCCAAGAATCGTATGCCCAGTCCAACTGAAGGGTTCTAATACTGAACAGAAGAATACTCCCCTAATAAAATGCAGCCAAAGTGTGGTTTTAGTCATTTTTGTTCGATTCAGATAGACATTTGTTATCTAAAGCTATCTATCTACGCGTATGAAGATGGTATGATATGTCATAACAGCTGTGTAATTCTAAGTGATACGGTTGCTATTTGTGTTAATTATGTACTTATCTATTTTGCATTTGCAAATCTAGTTAACCACATGAAACCAGAATATTCACTGTTTTTTGTGTTTTACATAAGGTGGATAAGAGTTTTACTTGACACACACATATACAAACAAGCTTAGAATTTAAGGTACCAATACTTACTAAAATACGTTATTTACTATTCAGTGAATTTATATTCAAGATTGCTTAAGTCAGTAATTTCTTACCCATTTTAAAATAGCAATTTGTATTTTCCTATGACACAATTTGCAATAAAACATTAAAAGCATAACATCTCATATGCTGACTATACTTGACATTGGACAGTACGAGAAAGATAACATCATTTTATTTTTAAGCGTCTTACTTCTCTGTTTACTGCTTATCTTTAGAGTTTCTCCAAACATACGCCACCACTCTCACGTGACCAGTTGGGTAACTCAAGGTTACACAAACCTAAATATATGACCCAGAAACGAGGAACAGCCTTGAGAATGATGCAATCTAAAGACGTTTCTTTCGTTACATGATATACTATTATATATATATACTATACTTTACAGTTATGCTTCAAAGTTCAATTACTTTGCAAGTTCAATATGGCAAAATTTAACTGCCCGCTTCATTGCTTGGATAAGCCTAGCTAACTCAACATTTTCACTAATTAAATTTATATGAGTTACATGAACATTTATAATTTTGCACAGAATAGTTTTATTATGTAATTGTAGCAAAAGTATATGCATTTTGATTGCAATTAATAATACTATTACTATCAGTAATACATTAAAGCCTATAGTACAGACTACAGTAATATAAATTAATTTATAATTTAGCCATGGATTTTTTTTTTATATTATTGTACTCTTATCTTGATCGAGATGAATCGTGCGCGTATTGTTGTATTCACCTTTTATGTTAGTTTTATTTTTCTTCTCATTGTTATTACTTTTTTGTAGTAATTATGTTTAAGTTAATATAGTATATCTTCTTTTTGGTTTGTCACTGAAAGCTAAAACCTAAAGATTTCTCAGTTATCAGACAATGAGTGCTAAATCGATCTTTGTCAGGATTGTGTATTTATAATTTTAAAACCCAGACATTCTTAAGTTTTTAAGGTCTGCAACAACAGAGAAAAATAAGCTATAAATTAAGATCTGCACTTGATAAATCTCAAGCTAAATTACTCTTGTGAAATGTGAAAAAAAAAAAATACTAATCATTCTAGAGTACTTGGCCAAACTAGGTTTTTCCCATAATGCTAAACTTTTAATTTAAATGAGATCATATATCAGATATACAATCCTCTATAGATTTTCAGTAGGTCAGTGGACAGATGCCTGAGGATTGGGAAGTTGATAATGTTATTCCTGTTTTTAAAAGAGGGTGATAAGAGTTATCCTGTAAAGTATAGGCTAGTTTTTTTTGTTTTTGTTTTTAAATTAGAGCTACATTTATGTTGACTATTTTTATATTGTTTATTTTCTATATGGATACACACTGGGCCCTAGGTTGATTGATTGTTTTTATACTAGTCCCTCCTTCCTTCCCACTCTTGAGCTGTATTTATATTAATAACAGAAGGCTTCCTTTGTTGTTGTTTTTTGTTATCATTGTTAACTTCAGATTAGGGGGCATCATTGCAATTTGGAATCTTTTAAACTGACATTTTCAGATGGTTTAGTAATGGTCTTTTCTTCTTAATAAATATAAGCCATAATCAAAGAGAACCAACATGAATGTGGTTAAGGTGCATTTCAATTTTACTTCATAAGATAAAAATTAGCATCTGATAAACACCAAAATGTTTATCCCCACATATAATTAGTGCCTTTAAGGGTGTGTATGTGCAACCTAATTTTTATTTTATCTTCATTCATTTATGTGTATGTTAGCTGTTGAGATTTGAAACCACTTGTATATGTGTGTCACCGTAAGGGGAATATACAAGGCTATGCTCATTATTAAATTAAATGTCTAACTTACAGGATATATATTTTTTTTTATATGACCCAGTTGCCTCAAAACATTAGTATAATTGTGTGCTAGTATATATAGTGAAGCTCTGTTGAATGCTCATGTAACGTACAGTTCTTGTAAAGTATATTGACAGTTACGAAGTACATGATAAAGGTGCTTATTAGCATTTGTGAAGTTTTAACTGTACGTAAATGCTGGTAAGTTATATTAAGTAGCTGATTGTACATCATTCTTTTATTATAAAACTTTTGAATTGTTATTGCTGCTAGTGTACATAAAAGGTTATGATGCACGAATGTTGCCATTTGACTGTTGTAGACTCATATAATCACTGGTATACGTGATATATGAACACATATAACACACACACAAATAAAATAAATAAATGCTCTTTGCACTGAGAAATTTCTTGTCTGAAAGTAAAACTTAATTTAGATTAACACTGAACTGAGCAATCTGACAAAATTGGAACTTTACTGTTCTGTAGTTGTGTATGTTGAGTTGATGAACATTTCTAATATGTATATAAATTCTGTTTTGATTTCAGAGGGATTTCGTGATGGAGTGACATAAGCTTTGCATGTGTTGAATTTATAAAAAGTGTCTACAGGAGAGAATTCTGGAGGAACTAGGTGTTTTACTAATATGGTAAAACTCACTGAATACAGTAACTGAATTTGATGTTACTACTGTAAACTGCAAGGAAGTAAAAAAAGAATCAAGTTCCTTTTTTCAGTGGTATGGCTGACCTCATAAGCACTGTAAGTATGTTATGTAGCACTTAGTCGCAAGAAAGCTATAGAACAGTTGTTCTCAAACTTTTCAGGCTCGTATACCACTTTTTTGTTTACATTTTTTTATGAGTGTAGACTGGGGCCTAATTTTAAAAAAGGTGAAAAATTTGGTAGCAAAAATTATTTTTAACACTTATCCATTAATAGGAAGGATGTGATTATTTTTTCTACCGTAGTTGAGTATGTGATGTGATTTCCAAAATGGTACAACCACTACTCGTACAAAGCTCTTTCTCTCAACCTTAATCTGCCCTCTAAGCATTGCTAAAAATTTTATCACTAACAGGACACCAGTCTTTTCTTACTCCTTCATTTTTGCACATGTGCTGATCATGTGACTACCTTCCACCAATCATATTGCACCATCTATACTAGTGCAGGTAGTTCCCTCTTCTATTCTAGTACAATCGTCACTTTCTTGATTGGCATTTTAGCGTATAGATGTGTGTTTTAACTTGCTCTCCGTGTGACTACAAAAAATTTGATTACACTTGATCACTAACTTATATTGGTCTCAACTTCTTGTGTTTGATTTCCATTGTTTCTACTCATTTGTTTTCAAAATATTCATTTTCTGAATTCTAATTTGTTTATATGAATTTGAGATTTAATATGGCGAATGATAGATTCCTTGCGATAGCAGACAATGATTCTGACATGAACCTCCAGGTCTCGGGGTCAATGAAATCTGCTGAGGAAGCACAGGCTTTAGTTCGTGTCTTACGGTCGGCTGATAATTCCTTCCTTTCCTGATTCATTTTTTGTGGGGAAGGATATAGCTACTGAGTGGAAATGTCTTTCTACACCACTTTCCACCTCTTACTGGGCCTTCATGTACTTTGTTGCATTAGGTATTGTTCTTTTTCCCAGGAGATCCGTGGTAAGTTTTTCAGTGTGCATTCCTCACTCCCAGTTGGTATACCCATATTTAGAGAATTTACGTGAGCTTGTGTGGATAGACCTAATTTTCACACATGATAATTTAGGTCTTTCATGTCTTCTCTGCTTAGTATTTGGTAAGATAGATTTTTATAATTCTTTTACCATAATATAGAAATATTACTAGATATCGTTTTGATGCAGTTAAACAATGGAACAGTTTTGAATTTGGACACCAGAAGTGTCTTGTAGATATGTTAAACACATTTAATTTCTTTTCTGTTTTACAATCAATCCCTTCTTTACTAGATTCAAGATAAAACGTGATTTTTAAGATTTATTTACATGAAATGGTTGATTTTTAAAGAAAGATACTGCTGTAGCTCTGCAGGAAATACCCTTAGAGAAATAAAAATTCTGTGATGTAATATAATTTACATAAATAATGATATGAGGGTATTTAAAATGATTTCTTAAGTAAGAGGAAGAAAATATGAAATTCTTATTTAAAGGTTTATCACATTTAAAATTCATGGTTTATAAAATACAAGGTAATAAATTCTTTTACAACCTCTGTTTTAGTTTCAGTGAATTAAAAAAATTATTATTCTTATAGTAACAGTTTGTAAAATCAGAAGGTTGAAAAAGCTGTATTTGACAAGGACTTTTGTTGTTTTAAAAAAAAATGGAATAGTATGTGAACATCATTGGTGATATAATTTTTGTGAAATTTTAACAAAAAATATTTTTTCTGATGTTTTTTTAAAATAGTGTTTATGTGTCTTTGGTGCAAAAATAGATATTAGTGCTTAAAACATGTAGTTAAATCAGTAAATTTTTACATAATGAATAAACTAACCATACTACTAGCTAATACTACCATAGCAAGTCAATATGACCTCAATGTAGAATTTGTATCAGTAAAGTACCTTGAGAGTAATCTTGGACTTGTTTCAAAAACTACATGCCAAGGACATCATTATGTAGAAAGTTTAAAGTAATTAGTTACTATTTTATTTGTGTAATGCACTATATATATAACGACCTTATGAAACTGAATAAAAAAAAAGTGGTCTTAATAAATAATATGTCTACATATTTTGACCTTTTTTTTTATTATTACTGTTATAAGTAACTCCCCTTTTTTTAGTTTTGTTCTTTATGTTCAATTGAATTATTGTTTTGTACATTATTAATTATTTTATATTAGCAATTAATTTTTCTTGTGTATGTGTAGAAGCTATGTTGTCATGCCAAATCAAAAGATGTTGGCTTAACACAAATGAACATCACGGTAGAAGAAACTGAGCAAGTGTGAAAAATGTTATAATTTATAGGATGATACTTTATGCATAATAATGCCTCTAATTATAATGTTATGAAATTTTGTATGTAATTAGTATTAAATGTGTATAATGAAATATCAAAAATAATTAGCTTTGGGTGTGTATGTATCTAAACAGATGTACTTGCCAAGCTCTCTAGGTGAAGAGGGTGTCTGGACTCCTTATGTGATTTAAAAACAAGACCCAGTGAAACAAGGGTGTATGAACTCTCCAAGTATGAGGAGAAATGGTCATTTAGGGGGTGGGGTATCCCACTTACAATTCTATGCAGAAACAATGGTGAATACAATCATTGGCAGAAGATCCCATTGGAGATGATGGCAGGAGACTACAGGGCATAGTGAACTAAGATGGGTCTGATTGGAGATGGTGGCAGGAGACTACAGGGCATAGTGAACTAAGATGGGTCTGATTGGAGATGATGGCAGGAGACTTAAGGGCATAGTGAACTAAGATGGGTCTAATTGGAGATGATAGTAGGAGACTACAGGGCATAGTGAACTAAGATGAGTCTTATTGGAGATGATGGCAGGAGACTTAAGGGCATAGTGAACTAAGATGGGTCTGATTGGAGATGATGGCAGGAGACTTCAGATCATAGTGAACTAAGATGGGTCTAATTGGAGATGATGGCAGGAGACTACAGATCATAGTGAACTAAGATGGGTCTGTGGGGCAGCTCTTGGCTTTTCCAGTTGTACACCACTGGATCAGATTCCTGGGAACCCAGAGGGTGTGTCAATGGCTGGTGCATTCACTAACACACCTTAAAACCTAGTGTACGCATGGTGGAAGAAGCCCTGTGGTGATGGAGTTGAGGTGATGATGGCAGACTCAAGGAGCTGGAAGTCTAAGCTCTGAATGTAGGCAGTCCAGATGTGATAGCTGTGCTGAATGAAGCAACAGCAGAACAGGGATGCTTCCCATATGTTTAAGCAGCCTTAGTCAAGGACCTCAACACCTACCTCTTTCTTTGAGGATATCCTTAGAAAAGGTGTGATTAAGGAAACTTTGATCCACTGAAACCTGACCAATGGACAGCCAATGATGATATATAATGGTTGTGAGAGTGTATGTTTTGTGCGTGTTATATGCTGCTTCAGTAAACTTTTCTAAAATAACTAATTTTGCGGCAACAACTCTAAATCTGATTGGCAGAGCCCACCTATTTAGTTACAGAGTACAACTGGCATTCTGACTTTTACAGCAAAATGTTCTAGCAATTTGTTTCGGAATAATGGACCATTAGAATATAAAAACCAAATATTTTGATGTAATTCAAAGAAAATAGCACTAGAATGGTTTATGGTTCAAAAGATATTGGCTCTGAACAAATATTCTGTTTGAAATGCACGTATATACTTGGATAGAAGTGCTCAATGCTGTGCTTTAAGAACAAGAAGAATCGGGCAGTTATTTTGAATACAATCCTCACATTTAGTTTAGACAAATACTTGGTTGTTTGAGTCAGAAATTTGTTAAAATTTAAAATATTTTTGAAATTTATGGTGGATAGATTAAAAGAATAAGGGCATTCCGGTACATAATTTAAAGATAATTTACATAAAATGACTAAACATTTTGTGATATTATGCATACTTTCATAAAGTTTCTATAAAGAAGTTTAAAGAAAGTTGATAATTGATTTTTTTTTTTTTAGCTTGAGAGGGAAATTAGATATTTTTTTTCATTATTATTACGTCCAGATGATGTATGTTCTCTCCATTATGAAACTTGTAAGATGAGCCATATCAAAGTTTAGCAGTAGAAATATGTCAGCTTTTATTCAAAAATATCTTAAAGTCATTAAACATAAATATCCAGGACTTATCCTTGTCAGAAACCCTTTTGACTATTTCGTCTTTCACTTTAGTTGAATGGTTCCTAATAAGAGATAAAACTGTGTTCTCCTGCATATTCAATTATTGACTAATAAAGTTTTCTTGTAAACTTTTAAATGATTTATCGTGCTATTTTCCACATTTAAAAATAGTTTCATGTATGATATATTATTGCAATATATGAATGTCACTTCTAATATACCTTGTACTTTCTTAATTAATTTCTTTTTATGAACAGTACCCTGTTCTGAAGTCCTTTTTAGCAGGCTCGTTCAGTGGCATCTGCTCAACTCTCCTATTTCAACCACTTGATCTTGTGAAGACAAGGTTACAAAGTCCTATTCAAGCAAGGTGTGTTAATATTGTCACAGAAAAACAAAAACGAAAGTGAAATTAGAAATTTATCTTAAGTTTGAAAGGTATTCTTTAAATTTAAGGAATACTTAAGTCATGGAGAAAAATGTTGTCTAACTGGAACTAAATTACATTCTTGCTCATCTTTCTTTTTAGAAGTGAAGTTTTCAAAACATTTTGAAAATTTAGTTAGTTTGAAGTTTTATCAAAATTGGGGTCTTTAAAGTTTTTGTTTATAAAGTACTCCATATGTTTATTGAGATTGGATGTTACAACAACTTTATTTTAGTGTTGTTAGATGAATTTAGGTAAAAAACTATGGTTTAATCCAAATAGCCTAACTTTATGATTGAGAAATTTCAACAAATTCTAAGTGTATTTTGAAATCAGCAAAACACGTGTGTAAAATGTTTCGTATTATATTTGACCATTACTCTGTCTTAACTGTGTACACACATTTTATTACAGTACCATTAAGACTTTAGCAGGATTTGTTTTTACTGGCATTAATACTTCTATCTAATTTAGTGTTACTGCTTGTGTCCATTAATTTTCTAATTAGACCTAATTATTGTTATTATTTTTCCTTCTTTCTCCAGAACTGCAGGACTTGGAATGGTTTCCTTGTTATTCCATGTTGTCAAAAATGAAAAAGTGACTGGTCTTTGGAAGGGAACTGTTCCAGTAAGTTAGTTTGTTGTTTGGTCTATAAAAGATGACTGATACTTGTTTTCTTGTGGTGTTCATTGTTCTTTGTAGCATTTTGAAAATGAGTTAAACTTAGTTGTGTGAAAAATAAGTTACTTCTTTACTGTTTGATTTACACTTTTGTACAGAGATTGTATTTAATCCTATGTTATTTGTTTGTTTTCGTTGTACTAATGAGATAAGACGAGACAACTATGTTTCTGAATTTTTATTTAAAAAAAATGTTAATGTGTATTTGTTCTTCTTTTTCAAATTGTATAATGTTTTCATTTTTGAGACTTGCATATAATGTACATTTACAAAATTAATAATTGACAAAAACATAAATCATCAATAATACATACGGCATTGAATAACCGGAAATAAAAGCAATACTCAGCTTTATATGAATTGTTTAAAATGATGGTTGTGTAAATATCTTTTGTTGTTAAGGGTTTATACAGATGATTGTGACTGATATGTTTTCTTTCAGTCTATGACTCGTTGTGTTCCTGGGGTTGGGCTATACTTTTGTTCCCTTAACTGGTTACAGCGAGCACTGGCGTAAGTTTTTAATTTAACTTGGAAATATGATCGTGAGGGTAGAAATAAGATGTATTTTTGAAGTCTCTAACTTTAAGTGAATTCTATTAAAATTTTGGTTTTTCATTTAGCGTTATTTTTAGATAAGTTCAATGACCTGTATTTACTTCTCTGTTTAAAAGAGACCGAAACTTTAAAGAATGGAAGGGCATCATGATTCCATTGTTGAATGTTTAAAGGGTATCTAATATATAGTAAAACTACCAAATCAGTAAAACTTAGAGAAGGAGGGCATGAGGAGGTGGCAGTTGGACCCCACATCCAATTTCATATTGATAGAATTTTTGAAAACAATATGTCTTTCTTTTCAGTATTGTTACCTTTATGTATATAAACTGAATGCCTTACAACAATGGATTCAGTGGGTGACTCACATTATTTTGTAACAATGGTTCTGCTTTGTGATATCTGTTATATTAGAAATTATGATTATCGTTTTAACAGTATTGTATTGTTTGTCGTGGTTGAACTGTAATGTTAGTAACATAAACGTACATTTATGATGTCGATTTATGATTTTGTATATTTTTGTTCTTTTGTAATCTTAATGAAAAGTTTTATAACTGTTTGCTGTATTTTGATAGCCCAACTCACTTTTTAACTAAAAAGATCTTTGTATTTTGATTCCAAAAATTCATATACTGCACTCAGAAAATAGCTTTAAAAAGTAGTGACTCGTTCAGAGAATTAATAGCCTTAAGCGAGACCTAAGAAAGAATAAATAATGAAACGTAATTTTATTTGACCTGCTTTAGGTTGTAAATTAGATAATTGTTTTCAGGAATTTTAATTAATGGCAAAAAAACTGTACAAGAAGAAAAAATTGTAGAAAAGGTGATGAAGTACATTGATGTGGTAAACCTTAGCCCTGCGTTAGTCTTCTGGGGTCTTCACAGACCCCAAATATTTTGTAACCATCAGAAGCTTCAGTATAGGGCTAGTTTGTGTTAAATTGTTAGACTTAGTTTAGGTGGTAAAAAAGAAACGCGTTGTAATATTTAATATTCATTTATTGATTAATAAAGGAAAAGATTTTGAGTGTTAGTGTTTCTTGTTTCCAAAATAATAGTTTATTGTTATTCAAATATTTTTGAATTGATTTTTTTATGATGTGGGGGATCCGCTCGGACCCCGGAAGAGTGACTGTGGAAAGTTTTTATAGAAGTCTAACACAAGGTTAAGAGGCAAACTTCGGTATTTTATATATTGGATCTTATTATTTTATACACATTTGTGATTTTTTTTCCCCGTGTTTATACAGGAAGAGTGATCCTTCCCCATTAGATGCAATATGTTTGGGTGTTATGGCAAGGTCATTTGCTGGTGTTATTCTCTTGCCAATCACAGTTATCAAAACTAGATACGAGGTATGATGCACAAATAAAGGTCAAGAATATATATTTCGATTTTGTATATCTTCTTTTAGACATAATACACAGGACATTGCAAACAGTGGTGGACACTAGGAGTGTGTGCTAACATTTATAAGCTGTAATAATTACAAACATCATGCTCTTACAACATCACATGGATGCAATGTATTGTCTTAAAATCATGCAGACAATTAAACATAATTCAAAATTCACTATGTCTGAAGGACTGTTCAAATTAAACAGACAGACTTCACAATCTTAACTATGTAATTGCATCAGTAATTTTGGTGCACCATAAACTTTTTTTTTAAAAGACCCAAATCACAAGGCTTATCAGATACATAAGAATAAAATCTTTATTTCAAACATTTAACTACAATCTATAAAGTTTTTTTTATATGGATTAACTTACCACCATGACGTAAACTTGCACTATCATTTCTATACTGTTGTAACCTTTAGACCGTAGCACATCCACTAATTTCAGATGTCTGCTATTATGTAGCGAAGATTGTGAAATCTGTTTAATTTGAATAGTTCTGCAGACATAGTGAATTAAGTCCTAATTTAACTCTTTCTGTATAATTTGAACACAATACATTACCGTCATTGATATTGAAAGAGCAGGGTGTTTATAATTATTACAGTTTGTAAATGCTGAAACAACTTAATTATGAGAATAGGATTTTTTTTTAATACTTGTAAGTTATTCGAACTAGATAAATATCTATCAAAGGAAACAACTGATGTGATAGGTTTTCTATAATGCTGATTTAGTACATACTAGTTTGTCTGGAAATGTAAGTGAAAATGTAGTTAGTAACATATGCATATTTTATCAAAGTGTAATTTAGTTTTTCCACCTATACATGGCCTTGCAATAAGAGTGCTCGAGTCTTAGTTTGCAGGTCATAGGATTGAATTATGTCATTAAACGTGCCTTTTTTAGCATAAGAGTGGCATTATAAAATGATTTTCAATCCCATTCTTGTTGTTAAAGAGTAGCTCAAGAATTAGGAGTGTTAATTAGTTGCTCTTCTCTCTAGCCTATCATTTCAAAATTATGGATGGCTAGTACACGTATCTCTGGAATAGCTTTACATGAAATTCAACCAAAGAAATCAATTATACAAAATGTATTCATGTTTTAAGTATCATTAAAATTTAAAAGATGTGTATCTGATGATTTTTAAAATAAGTATTAACAATTATATTGCAAAATGCTGTTAATGTTTTCATGCACTGGTGATGATTTTTATTTGAATCATTTCTGATAATGATCAATCACCAGAGCTTTGTTTTGTTTTTATCCAGTAGTTATATGTTTGTACTGAGCCAAAATTTGTTGGTGCTATACATGTACATCTCTACCATTTATGTGAGAAGTTCATACGGGTATCGATCTTGTCACAGTGTTAGTTCAAACTGTCAGTGTAAAAATATCTTAAGAACATTTTTGTAAACACTAGCCATAGCTGGATAACCTTGTTATTGGGAATCGTATAAGGTTATCTAGGATTTTGCGCATTAATCCAATTAAAAGCTTTGACACTTGTCAAGTTGTTTTTGTACATGTTAACTGAAAGCATTATGCTCATTTTAACTGAATATAATAGCCTGTAGAAAGTTGTGAATAATGCAGAATAGAATGGCGCAAAAACTGGTTTGAAAGTGTATCGTTTAAATTTATTGCACCATAACTTTTCATGCGAGGTTTAACTCCTTATAACTTGTAGAAAGTGTAAGCAAATTAAATGTTTACTGTTTGTGCAACTACTTATACTATGTAAGTGTATTATACATGTAATTGTGATAATAGGCAATAATATGGTACAAACAAGATGTTGTTGTGTCATAGTTGACGATAATGGATTATCATATTAATTACTTCTTCTTTTGTCCAGAGTGGTGTCTACAAATATGGTGGTATATTGCAAGCTTTGAAAGTTATTCACACTACAGAGGGTTTCAAGGGCAAGTGGACTCTTTTTTTTTCTTTTAGCATATCTCTGTTAATTTATTTGTAGCTCATGATTACTTAAAAATAAAATAAATTTACATGTTGACTTTTTTTTTTAGTAGCAAATTGCATATTCAGCTCTGCCTTTCGTTAAAGTCTACAAGTGAAAAGTGAGCTCTCAGTCTATATTGTGCTTTCTTTTTTGAAGCTCTTGTAATGCACCCATTAAGGGTTGACAAAAATTACTTGTTTCTACTGCATTTGGCCAGAGAATTTTGCAGAAAAGTGTTTAAAGGGGTACCCAGGATGGAAGAATTAAGGGGACTGCACTCCTCCATGTTCTTTCTCTTGAAAGTGTGGAAAACATGCACAAATGTACTAAAAGTGAGCAAAATCTCTGCAAGGATTTTCAGTAGCGTTCATTCTCCAAGAAAATTGATGTAAGATGGGAAGTGGATTGGAAGTGAGGAGGTGTAGCAGTAGAGTTGAGAAACTAGGCAGAAATAGCAAAGCGGTTGCATCACTTTTTGTTCATAGCAGATCGTTCCACAGTAGAGATGTTGTCAAGATTTCTACTGTCTGAATTTAGTACATTTAATGCATCAAATTTAATGATAATCTTGAATTTTGCTTCTACAGAAAACTGTATTTATACGTCAAGAAGTAAGAAATATCCTAAAAAATATTTTAATTATGAAATACTTCCCTAATTGTTAAAGCTGATTCATTAAGTAGTCTTAACGTAATGTAGAAAGAAATCTTTAAAAAAAAAGTAAAAATAAATAAATAAAATGTACTTAACTTAGAAAAATTTACTATTATATTTTTTGTTCTATTGATCTAGGTTTATTTAGTGGACTGATACCTACCTTGCTACGAGATGCACCTTTTTCAGGCTTGTATTTGATGTTCTACACACAAACAAAGAAAGCTGTACCTGAATGTAAGTACTTAAACTCTCATTTTGCATAAATTTTATTCATTAAGTTTTTTAAATACTGACCTATAAATGACCCATTACACCATGCCCATGAGTATCATTATGTCCCATAGTACCCTGCAAGCTCTTATACAGTACACCCTGGGTTGTGACATAATTTTTTCCAGGGCACTTTGGAATAATAATCGTCAAATGTTGGGCACCTGGGAAAAAATCCTTTGTAATCAGAAATAAAATAATTAATAAAAAAAGGAACTATAAAAACTCATAATGTCCTGCAGGGCATGGCATAACTGATCAAATTTGAACCTGAGTGTTAGTATTAAGGGAATGCTTTATACAAGGTCTTGTATTTTTGGTTTAAATAATTTGTTTTCTATAGACGAATGCCTTAGTTCACTTTTTTTTGACAGAGATAGTGCATGAACAAAAAAAAAAAAAAATTAGGTGAATTAGGTGAACAGAGAAATCCTTAAGTATAATGCAAAATGCTACAATAAATATATAGTTACATTTTTTTTGTTTTAATGTTTCTTCAGCATGGAGGGATGGAATGACTCAAGTTCCAACAATATTTTTCTGTGGAACGTTTGCAGGATTAGTGGCCTCGACTTGCACCCAGCCAGCTGATGTCATCAAAACTCACATACAGTTGTACCCCAGAAAATTTACTAGCGTCTCTATAGCAGTCGGTCATATCAATAAGGTATTCGAAATGTAATGTACCTGCTCAAATAATGTGTCGTAGTACTTTTGTTGTAAAGTTTTTTGTTTTGTTTTTTCATGCATGCTTTTCCATCCTTACTTTTAATTTCTTTATGGTTCTTCACTTTCCTTGTGGATAGTTATTGTTAATTTGATTGTTTCTATTTGGCTTGTGTACCTTTACTTGCGTAGGCTTCAAAAATACGTAATGCTATAATGTGAAAGTTTAAACGTTATAATGCAGTGTAAATGAATGTCGTGCTATATACATCAAGGACACTGTTATTTCAGGAACATGGATTGGCAGGATATTTCAGAGGTCTTGTCCCTAGAGTTCTCAGAAGAACACTTATGACAGCTTTGGCATGGACTGTTTATGAACAAGTACGTTATTGCATTTGAGTTATGTAGTGTTACAAACAGGTTTAATAAAATGTCATTTGTTTTCTTGTATTATTATTATATATGTAACTTATATGTTTAAACCATAAGGCTGAATATTAAAATTTAATATTTGCCCGACAACTTGTTTTTTTTCCTTTTAACGGTTATATAGTTTAAATATTCTTTTAACAACCTGTTGCTATATTTAGCACTTTAATTTCTTAACATCATATGTTGGTCAGTGTTAACTGACTATAGATTACTTTACTAGCAGCAGCAGGTGGTACTTGATATGTTGGTCAGTGTTAACTGACTATAGATTATTTTACTAGCAGCAGCAGCCGGTGGTACTTGATATGTTGGTCAGTGTTAACTGACTATAGATTATTTTATTAGCAGCAGCAGGTGGTACTTGATATGTTGGTCAGTGTTAACTGACTATAGATTATTTTACTAGCAGCAGCAGGTGGTACTTGATATGTTGGTCAGTGTTAACTGACTATAGATTATTTTACTAGCAGCAGCAGGTGGTACTTGAAAATTTGGTCAGTGTTAACTGA